CCGCAAGAGCGCGCCGCCAGCGCCGTTGTGAACGAACTCGCGACCCAACGCCGCCTGGAGAGATACGAGATTTCACGCGAGTTAAAGGCGGCGGAGGAGCGGGGGGAAGTAATCGGAGCCATTAATCTCCCTCCAAGGTAGTCCAGTTTCAAGCCGTTGCGGTTGAACACACTGCAAACACACCTTCGTTTCTTTGTGTCTATGTTCACAGAGAGCTTACGTACCGAGGAGCTTGGGCTGTGTAGGTTACGCGCGGTATAAGGTGATATAAAGTGGAAACGGCCGGATCCGCTTAATGAATGAAGTCCCCGCGCTTCGGTTTATGTAAGCGCCCTTTGCGAACGTTCGTACGCTGGTCGCAGCTTGGGCCCTTCGCGGGTGTGTCACCGGAATGAGAAAAACCGTGGGAATAATTTATTCGATTATCTTTATAGCCCTCGGGGCCCGTGCCCCCTCGCCATTTTTTTTTGCCATAGCATGCACAGCATAAAATGGTACTCGACCACATCTGCCCCCCCCCCCCACTTCAGATCAATTAAGAATGGTGAACCCCCTCCCCCCCCCCCCCAAAGAAAAGAAAAAGAAAAAAATCTACTTGCGCCTCTGTATTTGTGTTTGTATGCGCGTGGGCGATCACGAAAATTTACAAGCGCAGGATAATTCATTCGTCCAAAATCACCTATCAATTACCAGTCAGAGTTCGAGAGATTGGCAAGCACAGCGTCAATCGAGCGATCAACATGTGCGCCTAATGTGAAAAATCAAACCTGAAAGTTGAACTTATATAACCTTCTCAAATGAAGGCGAGTGCAAGCAGAATATAAGAAGCTTCTGTATAAAATAAAATAAAAAAACGGAATTAAAGGAAACATCAAGTGCCAGATTTTCACAGAAAGCCCATGGCTGTATGTTTTTCAGTACTTTAAAATGTTACGTTTGTGTACTGTCGCTCCAAATATAATGAAAACTGACAAGAAAAATGCAGGACTGTTTATAAAATTATGAATTGACCATTATTATTAGCTGTCTTGTCGTTTGTACGAATGATGTATTTGAAGTGGCGCTAAAGGCTCACACAAATTTAAACAATTATCTATTTATATTGGTCCCTAACAACGTTCGTGCACGCCATTTTACCATCTTGCTAGGAAGCGCAGCCACTATTACAAAGATCACACAACACAACACAACACATCTTGCATGTTGCCACGCGACTTGTACAGCAAGTTAACATCGCCATATTATTTATGTATTTAACATTTGAAAAACCCTACTTAGGAGTATCCCATACATGACTGCGTTTCAGCGCCTAAGTATAAACCAAAATGTGTCGTGTGGGTTTCGTGCACTGTAAGTACCTTACTTTATGTTTCTTATAACTTCTTATGCATTGTATGCCGAGCCTTTTTCTACGGTAATAAACTGCTTAGAAACTGTGCTCATAAAAGTTGCATATGGGTGATTACTGCAGGGACACCTCATAAAAACTTGAGGTCAATCACGTGCACGCGATATTCGAGCGACAAGCAACGTGACAGACTGACCGTGTGACATCACGCGTGGAGTGTCCACATGGACCAGGAATTCCTACAGACACTCTTAACGCACTCTGAACATTCCCTTACACCACCTAAAAACACCCCGGGGGGATTCTCACAATTTCCCTTGCTCTCAACCTCCTTCCCCTCCTCATCCAACCCACCCAGAAAACGAATTATTTCACACCAACCCAGTTTCTAACTCCTTACAAACAGACACTCATCCACGCACATAGCCGTTCTGAATGATTGTATGGTTGATTGATTGATTGATTGAGTGATCTATCAATCTATTGATTGATTTATTGACTCCCTGATTGGTGATTTTTATATACCACGCCTGGGTCAATATTTCGCATAGGGCGATATTAGGCGGAGAACGGAGAAACCCATATGTAACTTTCTTGTGATTGGCCAAGCGCACCTTACCGCGCATTGTGTGGTGAACGCGTGACGTTGGCCGAGTCCGCGTACAGTGAGCCTCCTTCGCATTATACGACCCTAAGTGACCGTAATATCCGGAGAGAAGCCGAGTGAGCGACTCGCATAAATTAAAGTCGCCCGCGTACGCGAGACACTCGTTGAACGTCCTTGTTCTTGTCGTTTTCGCTTCGTCCACGAGGCTTATCGTGTTGCGTTGAAGCCGATCCGACTTTATAAGCACGTCACTGCTCCACTGCGCGCGGCCGTGACGTACGCAAATGGAGTGGAACATTTCCGACATGTCTCGGCGGCGGATCGGTCGCGCTTCGTTTTGCGTTACGCTAATAGTGAAAGCACCGCTATAGCGGACACGCTTTGCCTCCTGCCGAATGAAAACGCCAGAGGTATACAACGCGTTCACTCGGCAGAGAGAGAGAGAGAGAGAGAGAGAGAGAGAGAGAGAGAGAGAGAGAGAGAGAGAGAGAGAGAGAGAGAGAGAGAGATAAAGATGCAAGGAAAGGCAGGGAGGTTAACCAGACGCACATCCGGTTTGCTACCCTGCACTGGGGAAGGGATAAAGGGAAGAAAAGAGGTTGCAGAAAGATGAGAAGGTACACACAATCACGAGCACACTCGGGGAGCACACACAGTCTACAGGCGGTCGCTCAGGTTTGTTGACTTAAGGTAGAGTAGCAGTGCTTTAGTTGCTTTCTGCGCAACTGAGGCAGATGCCCAAGGTCCTAGTATCTTCTGCACACAAAATGGTCCGGGGTCAAGTTGATTCAAAACCACCCGGAGCTGGCATCGCTGTGTGTCGTAGCAAGCGCAGCTGCACAGGACGTGTTCGATGGCCTCTTCAGCTCCGCAGTAGTCGCATGTAGGAGTGTCTGCCATACCAATGCGAAAGGAGCATACCTTTGTAAATGCAACACCCAACCAAAGCCGGCATAACAGTGTCGCATCGGAGCGGGAAAGTTGTGATGGTAGCTTTAGCTTGGGCGAAGGATCCAGTTCATAAAATTGACACCAGACTTTAGAAGAATTCTAAGCGGAAGCAGAAGCTACGAAAAACAAAGACTTGCGAAAACTACGGCACAAAAAGCAAGGAGCAAATATCTCCGAACCGAGCAATGTCCCCGGTCGAGTAGATCGAAGAGATTCATATGTATGTCACATCTCGAAATTGGTCCACCTCAATTTCTTTCCATTGGTGTCATAATTACTACGCTGTAGTTAAAGTACAAATAACGTCCGCTGTGTGCCTTTCTGTGGCGTTATAGTCCATCGACCTCGTCGTGTTTTATCAAACGAGGAAGTTCGCACATTGGTCTATTCCCTTTCTTTCGTCCTCGTTTACTTGTAGCATAGATCGAAAAAAAAAAAGAACTTGAGCGCCCTCAGACTCATTTGAGGCGGGTACTTCAAGCTTAGGGCTCACTCGAACTGAGACTCAACAAAGTTTTTCGCCAGCGCACTCACTCACTCAAACTCGGACTCATTAACATTCACTTCTACTGGGCCCACTCGAACTCAGTCTCACCGAAACATCACTAAGCAGGACTACCCTGAACGTGCGATCTGCGTCTGGGTAAGAATGAGTGAGTAGACTCATGATTTCGACGACATATGTCTCGTAAAAATACTGCATTTCTTTACTGTTACAATAGGGCACCTTCTAGAATCGCTTGGTTGGGCGAACATAGGCACGCTATACTTTGCAGGTCGTTCCAACCTGAGCCTATATGGTTTGTTACGCATCGCAAGGCCACTTAGAGGTCTCTTTGCATTCTACCGACGGACGTCGTCAAAAATGCTGACAACACTTCAAAAATACCGGAGTTCGCGGAAAGACGGAAGTCCTTGATGTGATGAGAAGTTGCTGGAACTACATCTTTGCTGCCTGAGTCAGCATTAGGACAACAGTATTTGAATTCGTCGAGGCGCAGCGACTGGCGTTGCTGCCACAACTAATTGGGCAACTCAGTTGGCAAGTTCCCTGGCCGAAGCGTTGACTGTCTGCATTTCGCGTTCAGTATATTGTCGTCACCATGCTACCTACATATTGCAGGCTTCGCCGGCGAACATTAGCGCTCCGGTGCGTGAACGACTGTGTGCAATGGTTTAATTGCTGTATGGTGCAGTAATTAGGTAACAAACTAGGTGAGTTGAATGGTACTCACGATGCTAAAGTACTGTTCTTGGAACGTGCACAATTTTAAGCTGGCATGGTAGATGGAATTTTTTTAATTATTATTTTTTCAAATAGTCCTGCTCAAAGCCTCCCTTTCTGTTTAATTATTTCATGCTTTTCTATTAAAGGGGCCCCGCAACAAGTCTCGTAGTTTCAATTGGCTTCATTAGCTTGATTGGAAAGTTTATTGTCTCACTTGTTTATTGGTCCCAAAAATCTTAACAAGGTATGGTGTGGGCGGAGTTATAGGAATTCGCTGTACGATTCAAGTGCTTTCTCTTTCAGTTGGTACTAGCGAACGTGCTGAGACTACACCGTCAGAGGGAGGAGGAGGACGAGGGAAAGAAACTACGTCTAGGTCACTCTAGCCACGTCAACCCGTCCGCACGCCTCGTGATCTTGAGCACTTTTTTTTTCTTGTAATGTGGGGCTCACTTACAAAGTGATCGGGAGCGCTCGATGGGGCACGTCGCGGCCTCTTGCGGCGACCGCTGTAACTACGCAGCTCGCGATGCTCAAATCAGCCAATTACCGTGTACTTTAGGTTTATGGCATGGCCATTTAGGTTTATGGCCTTATTTTTCGACAGAACAACGATCTATTGTAGGCTGACATTGAGATTTAACCGCCAATTCCAGGCCGCGTGCTGCGCTAAAGGTTTGGCTCTCGTGTTCTCAGGAGCCTGGGCTATACTAAACGGAAGCGTGTTCTGACTATGCTGAAAAAAGCGTTGCAGGGCCCCCTCAAACTTTTAGTTGCTAGACAGCGCTCGCATCGTGTACTTCGACCATTGTCCGGCGTCTTGTTTGTGCCGGGCATCGTAACTGCGGTGCAGTGCGTGCACTCACCCGAGTTCCGGGCACGACTCGGTGAGCAGGACGACGCAGTCGAGGCATCCCTTGGCCGCCGCGTAGTGCAGCGCCAAGGCTCCCGTTCGGGACTGCAGCGACGCCACGGTGGGCGCCATGGGGCCGGGGACGCCGTTGCCGCCCGCCTGCAGCAACCAGCGGAGGACGCGCCGGCGACCGTGCCTGCAAAAGGGGACAATCCACACGTCATCGTCGGAGTAACAGTTCAAAACCCTCTGCTGTGTGCGGTGAAGTACGAGCAAGGGACGCGTTAGCGACACCATCCCGGCTTCTGTATCAACTGCGCATGCGGTCAAAGACAATGGAAGTTTCTACTTCCATTTTTGAAAGTACTCATTTTGAAAAGGGCAGCGCAACGACAGATCTTTTTATTACAAAAATATACATTGAAAAAAAAAATATTAACTTCGGGCTGCTTCTGGTACTCTACAGAAACACAACATAGAGTAGGTCTTAAGGTCGAAGGTATGATGGCTAAGGGCCGCTACGACCTCTGCATGAACAGTCAAGAGACCATCGATCGCCTTCTTGCTTGGTGATCCGCAATACTTGAACACACATACCTCCCTCCCTCCCCCTCTCTCTCTCAAGCACACATACACACACACACATACGCACACATACACACACACACGCACACACACACACACACAAACACACACACACACACACACACACACACACACACACACACACACACACACACACACACACACACACACACACACACACACACACACACACACACACACACACACACACACACACACACAGAAGCACAAACACAAACACAAAAACACACGAATCCCATATGGGTTGGGGTGCCCTTCAGCAAGGTTGCACATTTAGTCGGGACCCTTTGAGCTTTGTTGATTTGCTTAAATTATTGACGGCACATCTACAGCAGCAGTAATTTATAGATAAGCAAGCAAATAGCACCATAAATCTTTAAATTGGTGCCTCGATGACGCAGGCGAATGTAATCGTAGCATGGTAAACAGGGGCGCGACATGCAAACTTATGAGAAATTCGAAGCAGCGATCAGCCAAGCCACGCACAAAGATTGTATTTCAGAAACGTTTTTCTCTGAACGACCCCAAACCGAACGCGTCACTCGTGGGGAATTACGTGCACCAGGTTGGTATACAGCCCGCGATGCAGTGGCAGAGTACAAGTTTTGCTATGTGGCACGTATCTCCCACGAACGCCGCTTCCTCGAGGCACGCTTCTTTCCCACCACTTTGGCGTAACGGTCACTCGAGACCAGATATCGACCCAGCCGGTCAGCCGAGTTGGGTCTCGGGGCTTCCGATCAGGGCCTATCACACCAGGAACCGGAAGATAAACACTTAATGGCCGTATAGACACCGAGGTTCAGTCGTGAGAAACGGCACGTCTAATAGAACCGCGGAGCATCGATACCGAAAGTCATGAGGTAATGATAAACAAATTGTGGACAGGACTGAGTGCGCTTCGAAGCAACAAACATACATGCACGAAAAGAGAGAGAGAAAGAGAGACAGAGAGAGAGAAAAAAGATCACGTCGTCGTCAACCACTTCACGGGCCCAAAGAAGGGCCGTCCGGCAGCTCGAGGTCGCAGAAGGGCCGTCCGGCAGCTCGAGGTCGCACTGGCGCTGCAAAGGCGAAAGGGGGACACCCTCAGTAACCCGAGCGGCGACGGGGCACGAAGGCCTTGAGGTCTAGGCCCGCGTGACATTAGGACTTCTAGTGTAACGTGAGATAGGGTGAACCCCACGCCCTGCGCGGCCGGAGGGAATCCCGCATGCTGGAACCCAATAAAGTTTATTCTCTCTCTCTCACGGGCCCAAAGACCGGTCAGCCCTCCTGTCCATTTCGCGGTTGGCCCGATAGCGAGTGCCATGCAACTTGTTCTTCGGCTCTTTGCGCAGTTAGGAATTCCGTATCACGTTGCTAACCTGCCTGTCCTTCCTCCTTCCCTCAATATTCGTTCTCCTTCATATCGCGTTCTTTAAAGAAATGATAACTCGATGCTGGAGAAACAAGCAATGCGCACGCGCTCTGTAGAAACGCTCGCTCGTGAAACTTTCCGCACTCAGTTGACATGCCATCGTGCTGCTTCGGTGATGATATACGGTGGTTAATCGCACGAGGGCCACAAATGGTGGTGGTAGTGGTTAGAAGAGGAGGAAGGCACCTAATTTCTGCAGCCTGGTCGGGAGCACGGTGCAGTGCCTAGCCACAAAAGACCAATGGGCGTCAAATATAGGGTTACCAACTATTCAATGAAGGAAATCGTAGCGGGAGGGGGGGGGGGGCACTATAAACTGACAGCTACTAATTAAAAAAATGAAAAAGAGGTGAAATGAATGCAATGGAATAAGAACTACATGTATATTTTATGTATGGCATAGTTATTATTCCACACACCATGGACGGGTGAATGGAGGTATACAACATTAAGAAGTCAGCACACCTTGCACTAAGTCGCGCAAGGCTGGGTCACAGCAGAGCTGCCATAGGCACCTATAGCTATTCCGGCGTGACTAGGCTTTTGTCATCTCACCTGGCTCGTTATACTATACTATACCATACTTTATGATACACTCCACGTGGTTATGTTTGCTCCTTTTTCTATCGTTTCCTGAGCCTTTCTCTTACTACCTCTTTTTCTTTGTGTCTCTTGGTTTCTTTTTATTGTCTCGATTTATGCGTATTTCAGTCTTTCTTCTCTTTCTTTTTCTTCTTTTTCTCATTCTTTTTCTTTATCTCTCTCGCTATCCGTAATTGTACTCTCGCCTTCCGTTACAGCTTCCCTCAACCGTTACAGCTGCGCTGCAAAAGCCACATAAATTTGTGCAAATCTGACCACCCACCACACTGATCGGCTGAACATTATTAACAGAACACACGGACGGCAAACGCTGTGAATAAGAACCGCGATTTCAAGCTGCGCTTGTTAACCAAAGCTTTGGCGTGGCGAACGAGAACATTTCGATTCGTGATGATGATAATTTTCTATCCACGACACATCGCGAATCTCAACCTTGACGGCTGTGCAGTAAAAAAAAAAATCTGGTGCTTTTGCATAAGCATCCTCCTGTAGAGCACGTTCTGCAAATCTCACGGGCAAACGCTGCGCTGTTTTCGCAGGTACTTCGGATTGTTAACAACGCAATAAACCATCCTTGTTCGCAGTGCGGTATAGCGGAGGATCTCGAGAGCGGTAATAGCTGTGGTAAATCGGTTTCTTCAAGAAAGCAAAGAAAGACAAATGTAAAGGAAACTTCGCTTATCTGCACAAGAGGCACCTGTGCCCCAATCCGTATCACTTACGAATCGCATCCCAAGTCTGAGGTTTCCCTCATGTTCTGAGAAGAAAGCGGTCTCTTCAAGCAGCTTTCCGAGCCGCCGAAGGTCGTATTGCGTAGCTTCGCTTCTTAGCGTGGAAATTCGGCCGTCTATATTCGAGAAAGAAAGAAAAAAAAAAGCGTGACCTTATGCACAACTGTTTTGGTTCAACGTTTGCATATGCTCACAGTTTAAGTAGCATACGTGATACGCGTAGAACACGTGTGCTTATATAATAGTTGAATGTCTCGCTGAGAAAGAGAGAGAGAGAGAAAGAAGTAGAGACGAAAGGCGGGAAGGTTAACCAAGCTATACCTTACACTTGGGGAGGGGAAAAAAGGAATAATAGAAAGGAAAGAGAGAAAGAGAGAAAAGAAGAGTAAGAAAGAGATGGATAAATAGTTGGCTCGAGACTACACAGCACGGTCTCACGCTGTTTTGGTCTCACGATGATCATCATGAGGCACGCATTGGTCGCGGACTCTGAACTGGTTGCTGACTTCTACGGTATCATTTGACGTGCCTTTAACATAAGTACACAAGTGCTCGTGCATCAAATTATACTGTTGTAAGTTCGATGTGACTCATTAACTGTGCGTGAAATGAATAAGTTTGAACTCTTCGAAATGTAACCTCGTGCCATTCGTTCCTTGCCTATGAAATGCCACTAAATCATTTAAAATGCTATTGTAATGTGTTGCGGGTACAAGAAATTCTGTCGGGCGTCGCTCGTCTTTTACTCCTGCACATTTCTTGATCTGATAAAATAAACATTCATTAATCGATCAATTCATTAATTCATATAGGTCAAATCAAAATGCAGCTGGCGGGATAGAGAATCGAACACGCGCCCTCGAGCTCACAAGCTCGACAATGAGAGCGACGAAGTTTATCACTATAGTGCGAGCCCAGCGGGAAGAAAAATGAACAAAGCCTTCAAGTTGTACTTGTTTCTTTTATCTGGCGCAGCTAGGAGCGAAAGAAATCCGAGCACACGCGCAAGTGAAAGTAACACGGATCGAATTCAGAGAGGAGCACTGTGGATGCACATCTCAGGGCGGAACCGAAGGTCCCTGCAGGTGCAGCTCTTTCTCTACAGCCCGATACTCGTCTCTCCTTGACGCTCCCCGGTTAGATTTCGATCATCCTTGATCTTTGCCGCGGGTGCTGTTTTGTTCCTTTACAAGTACGTACGTCCCTACGCTGGCTCGTGTCGATGCCGCTCCCACCACTGTAAACGCTTGCAGCACGTGTACGAGCCGTGAAACATGCGTGATACCTACTGCGAGGTCCGTGTTTTTTTGTATTCCGCGAGCGGACGCCATTATGATGGCCCGTCCCGACTTGGCTGCCCTGCAGCGTGTTACTGCTCCGGAGGCCATCGCTTCTTTACCCCGTCGCTCCGAATATATTTCGTGACCTACATTAGCCGGCTTTTGTGTACGCCAGCAACGTATGGCTCGATGTGTGTTGCAGTAAGCGGCGGTGCCTGGGCGCGCCGTATGCGCATGCGCTCTTCTTCCTGGAGAAATTGCGCCCCAAGTTTCCGTTCGCGTGCATCTTGATACCGTTAGTTTCCCGCAGTCTCTTCTACGCGCTCTTGCTTTTTTTTACTCTTCTTGGCTGCAGCCGCAAGCATCGCAATGCACCACCAGGAATCGGTATGCGGAAATACGTAAAACGTTGTACTGGGCGGGCAATGCTCTTTTTTACGTAGTCCACTCAAACTATACGAGAGCAAACATGGAGGTTAACTTGTCGTGCGTCATCTAATAGTACTATATATTATTAACGCTCACAGTGCAAATTTGATTGATACGTGGTGT